GAACAAATGTGCTCCTTCAGAATAACCCCTCACAGCATAGGCAGGCTGCACCTGAAAAACCTGACTGATTTCCAACCCCTCATTCTCCTACCTACACCTTCATACAGTACGCTGTACAGTTCATATTACCAGACTAAAAAGAATCTGATCAGCTTCTGATTAAGTCTTCCATTTTCAAGTGACAAACTCCCCAAAGCTGCTGTTCTACACATGAAGCTCCACCATAGCCCTTGGTCACAGATGCAGTCTGCAGCAGACCAAGGGCTCCTGCAAATGCACACCTCTGCTAACAATGTTTGTGTCTCTCCAGTATAGGAAAATTAAGAGGTGGTCAGTATTTTGCTTAACAGATGCCACTCAAACTGCTACTAAGTGTTTCCAGAGATAACTTTTTTCACCTTCTATAAAGAAAACTTTTTCCTTTCTAGTCCTCAGAGCATATGTTCAGTCTGCTTGACTATTTTCCTCATTATTGCCTCTTTTGCATTGAGTCTTTTTTTAACCCCAACTACACAGGTCCTCAGCTAGAACTGTATCCAGTCATTATCCACAGCTGAACAAGGATACATAGTGACTTATCCCCAGAAAAATCACCTTCATGTAAAACTATCCTATAATCATTTATCTAAGTATAACCCTTTTTCATTGTCTTTTCTCTAAGTCATGACAGATTAAGGAATATCAGTCAGTAAGTACACAAAAAACCAGGAAACTTACCCCCACTGGTCATAACTGTTAATATCCCAGACAACTCCTTGAACAAATATCTTGTGCTCATACATTGCTGTAAGCAGAAAGATTTATGAACAAACTTGATCAGATAGTCTGAATAAACATTCACATATAAGAGATCTACACACTTACCAATGATGGCTCCCAGAATGAACGGGTTGAGTTTTGTAAACACGATGGAATTGGTTGGTCGATTTCCCTCAAAGACCTTCGAAAACAAGAGTTACATTGTCATCCAGATTGTTGTAAAACTTCTATCAGAAACTTGAGGTTTATATTTTCCTTACAGCTCACACTGGATTATTTACACCAGCAGCAAATACAAGGTCCTGAAAGCTTTAAAGGCTAACACCTTCAACCATAAAACTGTATGACTTCCATTTCTTATTACAAACACAATGGCAAACTTAACTCCAACCACCACTGCAGTGACAGGACAAGAGGACGAGGTCCAGTACCTGAAGGGGCCTACAAGGAAGCTGGAAAGAGACTGTTAGAAACTGCAGTGACAGGACAAGGGACAATGGGTACAAATGAAAGAGGAGAAATTTAGGTTAGATATTAGGAAGGTTTTTTTGCTGTGAGAGTGGTGAGACACTGGCACAGGTTGCCCAGGGAGGCTGGCACGCAACTGGAATGGGTTGCCTAGGGAACTGGTGGAGTCACCATCCCTGGAGGTGTTTAAGAAGCATCAGGACCTGGCTCTGGGTGACATGGTTTAGGGGTCACCGTGGTAGTACTGTGCTGTTGATTGGACTGGATGATCTCAAAGCTATCTTCCAGGCCTGATGATTCTATGGCTGTGGGCTACAAGAGGCACAGGGCAGGTCAGTCTCCGCCGGGGCACACCTTGTGCGGGAGAAGCTTGTCCAGCGCGTCCCCGCTCAGCCCGGCCGCCCGCAGCTCCTGGCGAGCCTCCTCCGCCGTCTTCCCCTTCATCAGCGCCTCAGTCTGAGCCAGGAAGTTGGCCAGAAGGATCTAGCAGATAGGAATAAACAACTCATGTTACCATTGCCTCAGCTGGAATGGCGGTACCTGGTGCTTCAATCCACACCCAGCCCAGCTGCAACTCTTACTTAACTCTTTGGTGGGAAGGGGTGCAGCAGTTTTAGCTGCATAATGCCTGCTACTGCTTTACCTCAGAGTGCCAGGAGACTCCAATACTAGTTTAACAGCACACTGATCCAAGGACAATGAGGACAGCTGTGCAGACTCCTGCCCCGCTGAACCTGGCAGCAAGCCTCCCGGTGAGAACAGAGCAGCCAGGACTTCACACACCTTTCACCCCGCACAGGCCATGCTTTTAGCCCATGCTATACCATATGCACGGAAAGGCAGGTGTAAAGATTAGTCAAAGGAAACTAAGATGTACTTACTCATCCGTGTGAAGGAAAATCTCCACAACATATCATACACCACTCCTTATCAATGCAGTGCAAGTTCATAGTTTCCTATTCCCTAATGTTAGCCTGTTTTATGTGTGGTTTTCTCCTACCTGTTACACTGAACATACAGTAAAATTTTACCTACTGTCAAATTAATCCTTTTCTCCCCTTCTTTTGCATAGTCATACTCTAAAACTTTCACCTGTTCTTGGTGTCACTTGGCAAAAAAATACTACTATGCAATTCAAATAGCATTTGTAATCTGAAATCATGACAAAACTGAAATTCAGCAAGCAAACATGCCTTACTGCTAAGTATGTAGTAAGTAGCAGATCTGGACATGTTTCCACCTATGGAAATTTTTAAAAAAAATAAAACCTCAGTTCACTGAAAGTCCTTAGTTGGATAATACATTAATCTAAAAACTGAACAGATTAAAAATACCTGTGTAGAAGGCCATCACCCAACCCATGCCGTTAAACTTTAGGACAAAAACAGTGAGTGTAAGCCTTGAAAACTTCCTCAGACACAGCTGTCACATCAGCTCCGACATTTTGTTTCTTCCTACTCTGCAAGGGTTAGACTCCTTAATTCTTACAAAGA